CCACTGAACCTTACAAAGTTCAGACAATTTCTTTATTAAATAGAGTCCATACAGTTGATCAGTTTCATCTAATGCTTCGTGCAGCCCTTCCTCCTGAGGACAGGACATCGTCACCATCCGGTTGTGTTTTTTATGAAAATCATCACCTGTGCAACAAGTGAAACTCTGCTCTGGGATGTGTCTCGCGCTACTATTGCTTTCTTTTTAATGATGGACCAAGCTGCACGCAGTTCTGTGTGGGTCTGTGTGTACGCACACTCACACGCACTCGCAGCAAAGGTTCTTTGTGGGTTCGTGACCCCCACTGGCTGGTCCAGACTTATAAACTGTACGACAAACTAAACACATCCGTTTGTTTGCCTCTGTGTCTCACAATAAGTCCTTCACTGGTTTGTTATATTTTGCGCATTTGCCATCAAAACGCACCACGAATCCAGCCAATGATTCACTTCCTCATGAACCTTTGAATCAGGTACCAAAGCAGTGACGTAAGTTCACCACTTTCGAAGCTTCGGATGTCACTGATCACATGACTTTTACTAAACGAATCAAGCTCCGACACAGTGCTTCTGAAACAGTGTGTTGTTTTTTTCAATACATGCGCCGAAGCTTCAGCTTCAAACTGCCCATCACTATAATTTAGTGAATAAACAGGAAACATGTTTAACCTGACATAAAAWTTTTTGTAAATGTGAGTGTGCAACATGAATAATTTTATTTAAATTTGGTGTAATTGTGCTTAGACTGGTCCTTTCTATTCAGGCTAATGTTAGGTTTGAGAGAAATTATTTACAGTGCAATTAGAGGTTATGACGTGTTTTTAAAAAATAGTTTAATGTATAAAAATCATTTAGACCAGGTTTAATCTTCTGTTTGATCTGCTTCAGTCACAGTCGTTTGTGCATGGAAAGTCAATATTTTATGAAGTGCTACCTGTTGAAAAGATTAGACAACCACTGCTGTAATTCTACCTTTGGTGTCTCTGCTGGGGACAGGGAGCTGCAGGGACCACAGCTGCACCTGTTGAACGACAACCTTTTTCATGCTCCATACTGCATGAATGTTACTGAGAACAGGTAATAAAAGACCTTAAATAATCCTATCTGAGAACTGACAGTGTGATGTTTGAGTGTGGTCAAATGAGGAGTATAATGGAGACAATCAGATTCTTCCTTTTTTGTTTGTTGTGTTGTTKTTTTTTTATAAGACTCCATAATATGATATATAAATCTGTAAGTGCTCAGCATCGATATTTATTATTAAATCTTTAAATTTTGTATGAATTTTTCCACATCATTTCATATTGTTTTGTTTCATTCCTCTTCTTTGTTTCTGTTTTGGTCTTTCAAAATAAAAGCACACACCACAATGCGCTGCATTATAGTCGATATGAAAAATACTTTTACTACAGCGACCATGAGTATTTTCACTTGGGTTRTCTCAACAGTGCAAACAGAAACATGTAACAACAACAGAATTATACAGTTATATTTAACATCATTATTTTCATTTTAAAAAATCAACACATGAAAAGTCCTAAAACGAGATTAAATTTAAAGAGATTAAACAGTTACAATAAATTATACAATAATACACAATATTACACGCTGACCTGGGCTTCTGCACACTTTAAAGTGCCAAATATGTAGAGGAAGAGGACTGTAACAGTTTCCATAGTACACTCAATGCAGAAAGATGAATCAGGTTTAACTGGTCATTCATACAGAGAGTTACAAAAAGAAAACATTTTCCTCCTGGAATGAAAAKAACTTTTAGAGACACTTCAACAAAGAATGAGTATGAGTTGACAGTAACGTCTCGCCTGCAGAAAGTTTTCATTTGAAAGTCTGCACTTTCAGACACAGAGAGTGAATTATTTTAAAGTTCTGTACATGAGAAGTATAATTTAGACGTACACATGTTAAAAATAACAAATATTTAAATTTTATGTGACATGAAAAAGCTAAAGGGTTTGTGTTTGATATGATTTGCACTGGATTTCTAATGCACCCAAAATCCRCACCTTCATAAATAAACAGACAAACAAAGAAACCTGTGTTTTTCAAATTAGAGTTTACCTGGTATTTTTCACTAATTATGGTTCCTAAAAGCTTTCTTAAATATTCTGGTATGTCTATGTATAAACAGACAATTAGTTTGATACAGCATCAGTTTGAGGGCTGCACAGTATATCAGAATTTTACTGTTATCCTATTACCAGTGTGCACAACTTCAGTATACCATAGAACAGCTATAAATCATTGGTTATTATACTTTAATTATCATGAATTTATAATCTGTGCATAAGTCATATATTTGGCCAGTACAAAACGGCTGTCCTCGCCAAATTTAGATAGCTGCCGAGATTAAAGGACACAGAAAGTGCTGTGAGCATCCTGACAGAACAAGAAAAGGAGAGGAAATGTTGGTTTATTGCTACTGATATCATCACAAATAATCAAGAATGATCTCTCAATCACATGATTTTCACTTGTTATCCTCTATCGCTCTATGTGTTAAATGTTTAGAAGACACTGTAAAGGGGACATATTATGCAAAATCCACTTCATCTGCTAAATTAATTTGGTTGTGTATTTAAAGTCTATAGGAGTGCAGAAAATGTGAAATTAGTCTCTCTTCTCTTTATATTCATTCTGTTTGGGTCATATTTTTCAGCATGTTCAGTTTTCTTTATTTCCTATGATGTTTTCTGAACTGTTACATCACAGAATTTGCAACAGAACAGTCACTGACTTTAATCAGTTTGTAAATAAAAAGTTTCTGTATCATAAATCCCTCTGTCGAACTAAAACGGAACACTCTAAAAGCTGGGAGGTGGGCCGTRGTGTGAAGCACCTTGTTTGAATTTAAAGAGACAGCCTCAAAACGAGTTGATGCCTCAGAAAAGGGGTGAAAAAGGGGCTCGTGGAGTTACAATAAGGATGAATTCAAAGCAAAGCTGAAAACTGAATTTCAATGTGAAAAAGAAGGATTTAAAAGCATGACGTCTCCTTTAAAGCAGCAGTGTATTCATCATTTGATGCTGGAATTTGTTGTCTGTTTGAACAGAAAAAATACACAGATAAGCTGATTATATTTGTGATTAAATCAGTGAACAGTGACGTCTTTAATCCTGCAACAGTTTGGTTCAGCGCTGTTCATGCAGCTCATTTCTCACAATAGAATTCACAGCTTTACCTCCAACCTTATTACCAAAGATATGATCTCTGTCGGCATCACATTCTCTTAGGAAGCCTGGAAAGTTCTTGTCAATCAGAAGCATGTGCACCTGTTTAAAACAAATCACTGCGTCCTATTGTAGGGGTCATGTATTGCGATACAAATAAATGTGGTGCTTCATCTGATATGTACAGCCTGCATCGAGCCTCTGCCATGTTATTTTGAGGGTTTGTGTTCTCTTCCTCCATGTTTGGCACTTGAATCCACGTCTTCCCCGTTTTCTCCCGTTTCTCCCTCATATTTCCTCCTCGGGGTCAGAGCTGTGGTCGCTCATCTGTGACAGACAAACAGGCAGACAGACAGCGAGACAGAGCAGGGAGAGGAAAACAAAGAGGAGTTTCATTAACTGCCAGCTCAGAATGACTCAGTGAAACCTCATTCTGTGGGCAGATAACTTCATTTCACGGCACTGGAGTCTTGTCTCATTCCTTTACACCTCTCAAAAACAAACAGCAGCTGACTTCATGCATCTTCTTTAAACCAAGGCAATACTCTCAAAAAATAACTTTAGATGTCTTGAGATTTAAGATAAAATGGGTTTTGTGACTAAAACCAAGGATTTCCAGAAATAAAACTTCACCAGCTCAGTGCATTGTTGTGTTTTTGAAAGAATTATTAATGCACGCTGTCTTGAGGGGGATGCAGCTTGTGTTGTTGATCAACACACACCTTCAGGTCAGGGCTCTCCCTTAGGATCCGATGGCGGGAGGGGGGCGGGGAGAGGGAGGAGAGGGAATGCTCCGGGCTGCTGACTGACAAAGCATACGATGAACCGAGCGGACTGTCCTCCCTAAGGAGAGAGTCTGGAACAGAGACAGAAAGAGATGAATGCATGAAGGTAAAATTTAGGCAGCAATGGGATCATAATAAACCTTTTTAATCGCCTGTCGTGTAAAAAGACATGATCGTGTGTATAGTAAGTAAGTAAGTAAAATTTTATTTATAAAGCATTTTTCTTAGAAATGACTTCACAAAATGCTGTACAATACAAAAAATAAAAAAACAACAATTCAACAATAAACATCACGTCAAATATTTCCATCTCAAAAGGTGTATCAGTAGCAACACTGAGCCAAASGAAAAATGAAGAAATAAGAGACAACTGTAAAAATAAAATACCAGCCTATTTACATTTACATATACATTTACAGAGAAATGCAAAGAGTAACTGACCAAGTCAAGCATGTAGAGACTAAAATTTTAACATGTTTTTCCAAAGACAGGTCAGAGTCAAATAACTCCCAGATTTTGAGGACTCTGATGGACAGCTGAACACAGAGAGCCCAAGCGCTCCCTAACTTTAGGGATCAATTTTTCAGGGGCCAAAACTAGCACCTCTGTCTTATCCAAATTAAGCAGCAGCAAGTTTTCTGACAGCCAGCACTTTACCTCTGTGACACAGTTCATCAGAGAAGCCAACTTGTAGGAGGTGGAATCATTAAAAGAGTAGTATAACTGCAAATCATCTGCATAGAAGTGACGTGACACATCACCAAATTTATTTATAATTTGACTCAGAGGAAGGATGTACAGCAAAAACAAAATAGGTCCCAAAATTGAACCCTGTGGAACTCCACATGTAGAGGGAGCCATGTCAGAGTATGTCTGACCTACTAAAACAGCAAAAGAACGGCGTGTATCATCAAAAAACATCTCATGAACCATCAGATAAATTTGAATGAAACCTGTAGAATGTAATGATTTAATGTATTTATTATAACRAATTCAGTTTTGAAGTCTACATGATTCAAGCTTGTCGCTACCGCCTGACGAGCTTATCAAACACCCAAATGGCTAATTTTCTGTTTTTTTCTACTGATACTGAGCTAACATTTCACAGCCTAAACAACAAGTGCTACTCATTGTGCAAGATATTTACACAAGTTTAATACAAAACATGCTTTAAAGGGTTGTTTTACCCTTCCACCATGCAGCAGGAATGCCAGACAAAATTATTTTTTGAAGAATGAGAACATAAAAATCACCTGTTTCAATTGCAACAAATGCTAGAGCTTTCAAAAGAGCTGTTTAAGTATTTTATCATATAAAGTGTTAAATTGTACATTAATGAATTGATATGTCATGTTAGTAATGTTATATTAAGTGTAACTGTTTTTGTAATAAATGTTTTTTTTATGATGTGAACTCCAGGAAGCGGGTGTCACAGTAATGGCCAAAAGGGATCCAAATAAATCATAAACAACAATAAACAATCTTTGCTTAAAATTTTAGCATTAACTGATTTGTCTCCATAGAATGACCCAGATTAGCTTTGAAGGGAGATAAAGTGAGTAAACGAGGACACAGATTGTAGTATAAAGTGTTTTGAGTGTCCTAGTTTAAAAGAAAGATGCTACAGTCCATTTACCATGTAGCCAACCCATTTGTCAGTCAGTAGAATATTTTATCAATGACTGAAACAATTTTAATAAAACTTTTAGAAAGTAATAATTAAAGTCAACCCTAATAGTAAGAGTGAACTCTGTTAATACCCAATGAGGAAATTACTTTTCTGCATTTTTCCCATTGCACATCTGAGTAGTGTGTTACCATCTGGGGTGTTGAGGGCCTTGCTCAAGGGCCCAGAGTGGGGCAAATGAGGGTTTTCTGGGGAGTTGAACCAGTAATATTCAGATCACAGGCTCACCTTCTCTAACCTCTGCACCACCGCTCCCCTATTAAATAGCTAATGCAGTTATTTCTCAACATAAGAAGATTTTAATCCAAAACTCTGGCCTGAAAGGTCACAGATATTCATTCATAGGCCCTTCATTTTCCCAAGTTATTTATCTTTATTTGGTTGGAACTGGATAACAGGCTGAATACAACAGCAAACGTCACAGGATGAAGAGCAGCTGCAGAGATGTGGGAGTCTAGATGAGTGAGAAATTTAATATGACAATGAAAGCCATTGGTCGCTCAAGGTCGAGCCGAGTCGATAGGAGACGGTACAGAAGGCTGGGAGAGTCCACACCGGCAAACTGCACATCTGTCTGCATCTGCAGCCAGTCAAACGTTAGGATGATAACTTCAAGGTGAACGCTCTCTTTCTGTTCAGGAACATTTTTCAGGTGAAAGCTTAGATTTCAGAGGAGGTCAGTTTGCAGTTTGTTAAAGCTGCAGATTAAAAGAGTTTTGTCTTGTTTGTTGCCACAGTTCTTATTTGTAATTACAGAAAAATGTCCACATGAGGGCAGCAGAATGTTTTACCTCTACATTATTTAATGTGCCATTTCTCCACATTGTTGGCTTCACATGTTCCATGTTTTTGCTGAAAACCTTACATCTATAAACGCTCAGAGTAACTTTTTGTTGCAACATTTTTACAGATTCATCACTCACTGCAGCAACACAACCGAACTGTTACAACAGCCTGGTGTGGCTCCATCTCTGCATCACATTTCCATCCCCCCTGTGTTTTTCTGCAGCCCAAATTCTGAATCGTCTTGATTGTGAGTGGCGCAGCTAATCAAGAAGAAGTCTGAAAGCATCGCTGCGCTTCTGCTTTAAAATGATTCTGATGCGCAGATAGATTATCTACCGTTTGATCACAAAACCGTGCGCCTCGACTGTCTTTCTGAATGAACGTCTTTACCTTTGTGGTCATTCCTCTGTGAGTCCATCCTGTCAAGACTGTCAAGCAGCCCATCGATCTGTGTCTTTATCAGAGTCAGCTCCTTTTTAATCACCTGCAACTCCTCCATGCCCACTGAAAGAGAGGAGGGAGAGTGGCAGAGGAAATTACAGAGCCTGAAATGCCTTTCAGGAGAGCTTTAAGTGTTGCCAATATGTGCAAGAAACCCTCCTGAYGCTTAGTTTAGCAATGAAAAACTTCATTCCGAGGAAGAGTTTAACCTTCTTTAGGTTGCAAATATCTTGGATACATTTGCGATTTGCAGCTCAGGTTAGGTCAAAAAAGAGAAACAAAACATACTTCATGGAGCTGGACAAAATACAAACTGTGATAATCAGAATTTTGTTTTATTATTTTGGTCAGTTTGTGTGATTTCCTGCTGGACTTGCTGAGAAAAAGCAAGAGGTCATTATCTGGGTTGATTAAAGGGGACCTATTATGCAAAATTCACTTTTTAAAACTTTTTTTACTCAACTTTGCGTATGTACTTCTTAAAAAACAGTCCTAGGACCAAAAAAATATGCACCCAGGGGCATATTTACTGTAAGTAAAAGTATTTTTAATGTATATTAACGACAAGTTTTATACTTTCGTTGTTTTGTGATGTCACAAGCCGTACGACAACCCACCGGAACCTGCGTTCAGCCCCTTACCTAGCAACCCCCAGGTGAGACTCTCATGTAGCTCTATTGTTTAGCTTATTAAAGCCTTGTTAAAGCCTATTTTTTCGAGTTTCTGAGGTATTTTCACTGCTGCTGCTCCCTGCTCTGGTAACAGCATGCAGAGTGAGGGCAGAGCAGAGGAGGGAGAAAAAACAGCTGGGACCACGGCTCTGCCTCTGGGTCTCATATGGTTGTACAATGGAGCTTCTGCTGTTATTAGCCATACTAACGTAAACGCTGGCTTTGGAGGGCGGAGTTAATGTCAACAGATTATTGGAGGGCGTTACCAACAGAGCTCATTAACATAAACAGCTCTTCTGAAAATTAAAAATGCTTTAATGAAAAATTTAAGCAACCTGCACGTCTYATTTGATGTAAAATGATATTAAAGGAGACATAAACGCTGATTTTACTGAACATAAAAGCCTGGTGATGCGATTCACCTCATTCAAATTCCAGGGTTTACTTTTGTTTTCATGTCTGAACACAGCTCAGCACAACACCTGCTGCACATGAATGACACTGTTATTGAAAATCAATGTGCACAATTTCCTGAACAACCGTTTTATCTTGACCCGTGGAGCCTGGCGGACTCCATGAACTCATTTCACAACCTGCATCTTTATTTAGTTTGGAGTCATTTGAGATTTGAATGTGAAGCTACAACCACATTTGGAATACAATAATTGTTTATAAAAATGATTCCCCCCACCAGCTGAGGTTAAATAGAGTTCCAGATGAGTTGTTTCAGCCCCCAAAATGACCACATAAGAAGGTACACTTTTGATATTAATCACTTTGAGAAGGTTGAGCAGAAGCTTTTTTCACTGGTTGACTACGAGCCTTGTTTCATTTCTGTTTGTGTCTCATTTATTTTTTGTTTACATCCTAAAAAAAACCTGTGAACCGCAGGAGTAGTTTTTATTATTTGCAAACACAACGTTTGAGCTCAATCATTCATGCAGCTTCAATCAGCAGAGGAGACACATCGTACACCCCGAGCTCTGGTGCTTTAACAAACTCCAAAATGAATAAAGAGAAAAAAGTTCTGCCTGGGAAAAGATAACAGTGAAATTACTGAATAAAACATTCTGGGTTTGTTTTCTTGTTCCTTCGTTTTTAAATCAAAGAAACCTTAAGTGGATTTCTGAAAGGTCAACTTTCTCTTGGACAAAATTGCACCTAATAAAATAACTTTGAATAAAACACTTTTACTTGAGGTGTTGTTTACCACGGTAAGCTTTATGATTTACATACTGAAATGTTTGCTACAACTTTCAACAGCGTTTCAGGCAAAAACAGTTTAAATCAGCCGCACAGAGTAAAAATTGCAAGATCTTAAATGCAACCACAGCCCTTCAGGTTACTCACACTTGTTTGTGTTTGAAGGATTGGAGTGGCCTCTGGAGCTTTTGGAGTGGGTTCTGTCTCGAYTGCGCCTGTGCCCACTGACATAGGAGGAGGAACGGGATCTCTTGGCCAGGCTTGGTCCCGAAGGTGGAGGAGAGAGAGAAGCTGGCACTCGCTGATAGTCATACGCCCTGCAAATTAGGCAGCCACAGTTGAGAAAAAAAAAACAACCTCATGCTCAGCTGTAAAACAAAAAATGCAACCAATTGTGTCTTTGTTGTACATTTGGGAGAGAGCATTCTGTGATCCTTTCCTATCCAATTGCCCAGCTTCATCCCAAGCATCACCAGGAGATGGAAACATTACAATTAACCTCACAGGGGTGAAAAATGACTAAAGTGAGCAGCAGAGAAATGGACAGCAAAGACGGCAATGATTGTTCTCCAGAAAACTTGAGCTGTCCTCTGTGCAGTTGCTGCAAAGCATTTAAAGCTGCAGTTTAGGGCAACAGATGGTGGATTTTTCAAACACAAAAGGCCAATTTACCRTTCACTCTGATGGCAAAACTGAAGCAGAGCGATGTTGGAACATGGACTGAACAGGAATACTAATTAAACCTGAAGCACTGAGGATCGAAGCAGGTTTATAAAGCATTTGTTTGGATTACAGGTAGTTTTTATTCCATTTTTTCTTCTTTAAAAACATTTCAACATATTTCCTTGAAGCTCAATATTAGTTTTTTTATATTAGAAAAAAAAGCAGTTTTGTAAAAATGAAATGATGTTGACTTATTAAACTGTTGAATAATTAAAATTAGTCATTCCCAAATTGCAAACAAATTTCAAATCACAGTCATATTTGGCTACAGAATCAATTCAGAGAAGTTGAAC